ATTACTGTCGATACGATGGAAAAATGGAAGGATAGGCATGAAGAGCATTATAAATTGGTGCATGTATATATACTTCTTTTATAAGAATCTCATTTTCTTATTGCGTTTACAAGTTTGTCTTTAAATTATTGAAATAAATAAGTTTTAATGAATATAAAAAACAAAAAAATTTGTCGCAATAAATCAAATCATTATCATTAAATGCCATAAATAAATTCTAAAAATATCTTCAAATGCCTATTTAATATTATACGACGTTTCTATATACTTTCTTTTTCTATTATACAATAAATTTATACGACAAAGGTGACAATTCTTTGAGAGAAACATCGAATGACAGGCAAATTTATAACTATTCACTTTCTAATGTAAAATCAATTGCATTTAATTCGCAAATAATTTTACAAATTTGATTATAAAATTGTCCAAATAACGGATATATTTATTTTTTTCAATGAAATCAATCATTTGACAAAAGAGTATTTGATGAAAGAATATTTAATATATAATTCAGAGAATAATGATTTAAAAAATATCAAAATTCTTTAATTTACTTTCGATGAATGAAAATATTAAAATAAATTAAAATTCTTCTAAAATATTATTGATTATTCAATGGAAAATATATCAAGCATTTTTTTCTTCATTTTTTTTTCCAATTTATAATAAAATTTTAATCTTAGCAGAGAAAACAACTTTTTATAAATAAAATCATTTTTTTTATAATTATATCATTAATTGCAAGATATTCTAAGTATTACATACTTGTGTCCCATGAAACAGCGCAATATGATCAAGCAAAGAAAATACCTTGAACTTGCCATTTAAGTAACTACCGTGTGAAGATTCTGACAATTAAAGGTTAAATAATGCTTAAACTTACATGAGTACATTCCACTCAACGCTTTAATTGTGTTTAGTTGTTAAATTTGTTCCAATGTTTCCTTCCTTCTTCTTGGAAATATTCGTTTTTCTCAAAAGAAAAAAAATTAATTTCTGAAAAGTAATATAAATGAATCATAAAATGTAAAATAATAAAAAGAAGAGATATAAGATTCGAGAAAATACCATTTTTCAATCAACTTTTATATCAAATAAGAATTAAATTGATATATTAATATGATATATAATATATAAAAATAAATATACTGCTATTGACTGATAATAATTAAATAATTAAATCAATTAATTCAAAATACAAAATCGAATGTTTTTTTTAAATTTCATATTAGAATGTATATTTTTATTCGTTTAAATATAACGTTTCGTTTCTTCGATTATTAATTGAAAATTGATATAATTTAATAAATCATTCCAATTTCCTACAATTACACATCCGATTTATCGCATGTCTACTTTCAAAATTTCGCCTGATTATACGATAATGTAATCATAGAGGAACATGCATATAAAAAATGAACGCATTTCTTAGAATGTAATTGATTATTCAATTGAGTATTCATATCATTATTTCGCATATCTAAATCTAAAGAAAAATTTTTTTTTCTTTATATGAATTATAAAATGCATACAGCGAGATAATAAGATGTAGAATAATAAATGAAGATTATCGAACATTTAAATAATTAAACATATTTAAAAAAAAAAATGAAAATACTTTATATTATTACATTTTTCAAAAATTATATTTAATTTTAAATATTATTTAAATAATATCAATATTAATTGATATCGTGTAATAAATTTTCAAATAATCGAATAAATCAAATAAATTGCATTCTGAAATGAAAACAAATATTTATTATACTAAATTACCAATACAAAATCTAATTCCAGTGAAAAACTTCATTTAAATAACATTTATATTAAATTTACATAATGTTTATATAATATTTAAATCATATATTTAGTTCAAGTTTAATTTATTCATTGCTATTAATTTTATCATAATTCGAATAAAACGACAGATACCAATAACCAATATTCAATTCCTATTATACTTTTTCCTTAGATAAAGAGCGCTACACGTTTTACTTTTCGTTTACTATTATCATAGTTTTCCATTATAAATATCGTTATTTAACTATATTAACAATATCCTATTAACAAAATTATTTCTCTATATTTTATTTTCCACGGATAACAGGCGAAAACTTTAAAACTGCATAATTTGTCTAATTTTCAATTGCTAATTAGGCCTTTAATCTCTCCTTATTATCTATCTGTATATTATATCTTCACTGTAATTTACACTTTGCGATTGAGTTATTTAAAATAAGCGGAAAATGATTTGTTCGACCAATTTCAACCAGGGTATAAAATGCACTCCTATGTTTGTATAATTAATCGCATAAATAAGATAATTAACGAAAGATTGATCACACGCCATTCTCTGCGATTGAAGTAGCGAAACACAACGCCCGCACTTTCTCCCTTTCAATTGGAAAATTAATATTTCTTCGGCTCTTTGTGGAGCGACCATCATCATCAGGGAAATCCTGATCGTGTATTCGCTCATGCGTATCCTTCGATTCGATTATTCGAACAATGTTAAGACAAAATATATAACATTTGTGAAAACATTTATGTAACGATACACGTTTGATTCTTATAATTTTTTTTCTTTTTTTATTATTATTATTATTATTATTAATAGTTTATTATTATTATATTTATTATTATTATTATTATTTATTATTATATATAATTATAATTATTAGTTTCAATCGTAAATTCTAACGAGATTGAAACGAGGGAAAGATGAAAAGCATAATGTCAATCATAATAAATGATTCACGCTAATTCCAGGATTTCATTCGCGAATATCTGTCTGATGATTATTTAATGACTAATGAATTAATATACACGTGCTTCCTCGATTCTAGGATTCGGTGGATAATGTGTGAAAGTAGTTAGCCTTCGAATAATGGTGTTTTGACGATTCATGTTTATTCTAAGATTTCATTTGTTAATTTTTTTTTTTTTTTTTTTTTTTTTATATAATTATCGAATGGCCATGAGTGCATTCGATGTTTTCATTTTAATACACCGCCATTCAAAGTGAATGTCACATTCTTAAATTGAAATAAAACGCAAATTATAAATACAATAGCATTAGATTTTTTTTATCAAACGAGCTCCATTCATTTTTCATTACATTTTCTATTGTTGAATCGTTGACATAACTGACGCTAAAATGATGCCAAGAATTATTGATGAAGAAGAAAAGGGGGACAAAAATTTGACGTTGCACAATTTTTTGAAAACTAAACATTTTGGCCAATAATCTGAAAAACGAATCGAAATAAAATTATGTAAAATTGTATCGGAATACATGTAGCTATTGTGAAAAGAAAATGGATCAAATCGATCCATAATAGATATTAAAATGGACTTTTATTAAATAAAGAAATATAATTTGTCTTTTATTTCATTATAAAGATAACATCCTATTTGAATAATTCCATATAATTAATATATATTTTCTTCGTAATATATCATGACAGATAATCACGTGTAAAAATTGTTAAATTTAAAAAATGCATTAAATTGTCGTTTGAAATTATATTTATCATTTAAAATTATCGATACGGTTAAATACTTTTACATAACCAAATGATTAAATAAATTTTGCATAATGGATAACGCTTACACTTGTATTATACTTGTAATATTTTGAATATTATGCTTTTCTTTTCTTTTCTTTTCTTTTTTTTTTTATGTAATGTATTAGAGTCATGTCATGCTAAATTAAACGCATATTTTTTATTTAAGGAACATTAAACATTTGTACGCATCAAGATTGGAAAAGATAAAATATGAATGTTCGGTCAAATCGTTGAAGAAAATAGGATGAAAAAAATTAATTATTTTATAAAAACAAGTTACAAGAAAAGATATATTATATATCGTGTTTCATCAAACATTCAAAAAGATATAAATTAAGGAAATATATAAATCAACTAGTAAAGATATATAGTACAATTATAACTTTCTAAATAATTAATAATACATAGATTAGTAAAATAAAATTTAGTTAATACATAAGTAAAATAATAATGGATAATAATATACAATAACAATTTTTTTTACTAAAATATTTTTAAAAATTCAAAAATTGAAATCAATATTTTTTTCCTTTTCTTTTAAAATGTGATTTCTTAATGTTCAAACAAATCTTTTGTTCCAAACAAATCTTTATTATATTAAAGAAAAAATATTGAAATTTCGAGGATTGGTATCATTTCTTCAAAGAAATGTAAATCGAAAAAAGTATATACACAAATTTTCGCATTAAAATTAACAATTTTCTATTTTTGCAAAATAATGTAAAGTTCTTGAAAAAATTTTATCATTGACTGTACATATGAAACATCGAATTGTTTAATTACAACTTGGATCGATTTAACAACTGGAATCTGATGTAACGGAAGAAATGTAATTGGTATCAATAATCGTTAATGAATAATCTATTCTTTTGCAATTAACCGAGATTGGAAAACCCGGTAAAATTATAAAAAAAAGAGAAAAACTGGATTCGTATATTACCAGTCAGGGATACTTGTTCGTTTTCCATTGAATGCCATTCTGATTTGTGACCGCAGAAAATTCACCGAACGGTTTCTCAATCTCTGGCAA